TGGTGCAAACTCTACCCTTGTATATACTTTTTGTATGTTCTTTAAATTAAAACATATGCAGCTTTAATATGCTTAAAAATATATCTTTGTTATTTCTTTTGACAGAAGTATCAGTAAACAGTAAAATGTGTTCAATAACAGGTAATAACAGTAAGTTCCCTCTGAGAAACTGAGATTTAATTGAAAATAGAATAATGAAGTATTTGCTTTCATATGCATCTAGCATATGAACTGCATTTATGAACTGTACTACTTAAGTGAATAGAATGACTCCAAATGCAGTTCTTCTTTGCTGAGCCAAAAATTCAATACAGTTTGTATATATGAAACTTATATTGCAGTAAAATCATTTTGGTAGCAGAAAACATAATTTGCATTTCAATTCAAGTAGTGTAAACTTTTTATACTTTTTATATTCTGTCAAAAGTAATCAGAAAAAGGTCTCTTGATAGATGTCTTGTATGCTTTGCAGCAATATATTTTCTGAGTCAAATTGTTCCAACAAGAAGTTTGATGAAAATACAAAGAAAATTTTATATTTCAGTAACCACTGAACTATGCAACTGAGTTGCTTTAATTAGAAGTGTTTAATCAGCAAAGTAATGACATATTAAAATGGAGATGTTAAAAGAACTAAAACATTACAGAAATTTATGAATGCTTTTTGGTGATGAATATGCTTAGTTAAAAGTAATGCCTTTAGACTTATATTAGTACATAAATCTAACTATTTCTGTAAGATCACATTTTAAAAAGTGTGTATGAAGTCTCAGTACTAAAAGACAAATATGTAATCAGTTTTGATAATTTCAACCTTGGTTGAGAGTAAATCGTTGCTCCTGCTTCAAAATATAGAATTTCATTATCTCATTAGTAAGCCAAAAAAAAATTACCCAAAATTTCTTATTGTAACTGTTTTGTAATGCAATTTCTTGTTTTGTAACATTTGAAGGATATATGTACCAAAACATGATATGGCTTCATGAAACCATAATATATTTAGTGCTGTATATTTAATGCAATATTCCTGTAATTAGTACATAACTCATTCTATTAGTCTATAACTATTTCTGTAAAATTACATTTAAAAAAAAAATGTGTATAAAGTCTTAGTATAGATCAGTACTAACAGACAAATATGTAATCAGTTTTGATAATTTCAACCTTGGTTGAGAGTAAATCGTTGCTCCTGCTTCAAAATATAGAATTTCATTATCTCATTAGTAAGCCAAAAAAAAATTACCCAAAATTTCCTATTGTAACTGTTTTGTGATGCAATTTCTTGTTTTGTAACATTTGAAGGATATATGTACCAAAACATAATATGGCTTCATGAAACCATAGATAACATCAGTGCTGTATATTTAATGCAATGTTTGTATAATTTATTAAAATATCATACATTTGATAAATTATTCATTGTAAAACATTACAACTTTAGAAAAATACTTATAAAATGAACTGTAGGCTGTGTTGTATATTTATAATACCTTTTTTCTGTTACTCTGTCTCTTTCATGTGTAGGAAATTAAAAGATTCAAATATTTCAGTCCAATCATTAAGAGAGGATAGAGTAATGAAAAAAATTATGCTTCAATGCTATGCAGTGTCATGCAATTTCAGTCATAAGCAGCAACACCTCCTAGAACTAACTCAAGGCCACTGTGTGCAGTTTGTGACATTACTGCAGTAGGGATACTTTTGTCCTCGCCAACTTTAAGGGTGCCTTTTAAATATCCATTTGACAGGCTTGTAATTAAACTGAAATTTTTATATTTAATTCTCATTGTTTATAAATCTGGAAAATACCTTGCTTTCATTAGAATGTGAAGAACCGAGATTTTTATTTTTAGAATGTTTTCGATACGAATAACTAGAATTTTTAATTCCATTAAAAGTTATTGCTGATTTTACCAAATTTAATTGCTGAGAAATTCTTGTTAACGAAAGAAACTTCACAATGAATCGGAATTTTATTTGTACGCAATAATTACACAGAAAGACAATTTAAGACATGAAGGCAGGATATAGATCCTAAAAAATTGAGATAAATTCTAACTGATTTAAATTATGAAGCTATTTTACCTGGAATCATGTAGCAACATAAAATCATTAGTTGAAAACAAATATAATTAATCAGAGATGTTTATTGGTCAAGAATCGTATTAATTATACTTACAACAAATTATGCCTTGACTAATAAACATCTTTGATAAGTATAAGTAATATATCTTATTTTTGACATATGTTGCCGAATAATAATAAATACTCATGTTTGAAAAAAATAACGCTAAGCTTGCAACGATTTAAATAAGTTTTCATAATTATTTGAGACATTAGGTGCACAGAGAGAATTACGTATTATTTTGCATTTTAAGTGGCAAATATCAAATCTCTGATAGAGGTCTGATATAGATCTAAATAGCTAACCTCTGATCTTTACAGGGAAATTTTATAACATGGTTAACTTTTCTTTTCCCATCTTATCTAAAAATTCAGAAAAAGAAGAAAAGGATTTTTCTTTTTCATTCGCCTCAAACTGGGATATACTTTCAGCTACAACCCACTGAAAATTTTTATTTTCTAGCCTTTTACGACGTTCATCTGGGCTTTCTCTCACATAAATTCCCTTAAAATATATTTTGGGCAGTTTGGGAAAATATTAGGAATCGCAGAATGTTTTAATTTGTACCTCGATAAGGGAGCAGTCACCTTTCTTCCAGTCCTTTCATCAACGAATTCTGTACGTTTTGAAATGTCCTCAGGTTGAAAATGAAGGGCACAAACCGTCCAGCAAGAATTTTTACACATTAAGTTTTTCGGCTTTAAACTGAGCATACATTATTAAATGTCATTAAAATAATATAGGTTATGTTAGGTTATTTTAATTACGGCAAAGCCTCGAGGGCTATCTGCCTAAGGGGAGGGATGCCTTCGTGGAAGACTTTCTAAGGGAAACTTGCTCGTATACATGTTAAGCATGGGTAAAACCCTGAAAACACCCATGCATCCAGCCCGTTCGCGGGATTCGAACCTCGGACCGAACTACCAGTGTTCAGCGACTTAACCGCTCGGCCGCTGATGGGCCCCTAAAGTAATATAAGTTAATGTTTCTTCACGACTAATAGAAAGAAAGTCATACTTATCTATTAATTGTATAAAGTGAAACAGGTACTAGTTGTGAAGAATAATGTCTAATTAGACAGAAAAATCTTTTGTCGAATAAAGAGTTGCATAAATTTAATTATTTACTTACAAAAAATACGAAACACTTGCATACAAAGATTGTTATAATCGGATTTAATTATCTAAACTAGAATTAAATACAAGATTTTGTAAAACTTCATATTTAATGATTTACGTTATATTAAGTGAATTTTAAGAATATCAGGCATGAAATCACAAAAATTTAAATAGCGTATTTTTTCACATTAATATCATAAAAAAAATTGGTATTAGTTACAGAGATATTATCAAGATTTTTCAAGGTCTTCGGATTTTAATAAATACGCTGTTCCTGTGACAAATGTATCGAGATATTTAAAGGCAAGCATTTTGCAACATACAAAATGTATTTACAATTTTGAATTTTTATTAATCCTACTTTTAAGTCACGCATTTGTTTAATTTACTTAACTTGGTAAATGATGTTATTTACTACAAATTGACTAGCATGATATATTAAAGAATGCCATCTGCTATAGATTGAACGATTAGCATGATGATAAACAGCACTATCTGCTATAAATTAAATTAATAGTATGATTAAGTCATCATACTTATATAATCACTATTAGACTTACAATAAGATTAAATATGTTTACTTTCTATAAATGTATGTACTTGCTTTAGTTTATGATAATTATAACATACTTAACACAGAAGCACTTTTTAAAGCACAGATAAGTATAAACTTATTCATTAAAAAAAAAAAAAGAAAAGAAAACGCAACTTACCTTCGAAAATTTTGTTGGCTTGAAATTGCTTCTATGAATCGCCTTTATCCATTTATTTAAGAATTCTTTCTCTTTCGGAAAAGAGAAAACCTGAACTTTTGGACCGTTTGATTTGTTCCCTTTACAGTTAGGTACACAGCATGTGTTAACCATATCAAAAATTTGAAAAACAAATAATAAAGTGGAATACTTATAATATTGAAATATCTGAAAAAAGAAAGAAAATGTTGACTGTTCTTATGGACGTTTTCTGACCGAGTGACCGTCAAAACTCCGGAAATCCACCCACCACAGTCCTGGGTGGGGAGAGTTAAATGAAATGCAATCCCTATTGACACTGACGTCACACCTCCTCCTGGGAAACGCACCGTGGCCTTGAGTTAGTTCTAGGAGGTGTTGGAAGCAGTCGTGCAATTAGCCCAGAAGGGCTATTAATTTTGTTTTGGCATTTTGAATTGATTCACTATAAATGTCGGTTCACTTTTCAAATTGTTGCCACCAAATATTATCGACCTGTATTATACTTAAAGAAATGAAATAATGAAGAATGTGTATAAATGTATGTATGTTTCTCGCATTGTGATGAAACAACAGTACGTAGAGTCATCAAATTTTGAATAACGTAATCTTCCACCGAATATGGGCATCTGGAAGACCTAAATAGGAATTTGAAATTTGTTTTATATTATCGATTTCATATTTTGTAACATTTTAACGAATTTTTGATTAACAGAATGATTTCAAAGCGAGCAATGGCATCACTGTATGAAGGGGGGGAAGCATTTTTTATATCCAGTGCGCGAGACTGTAAATTGGAAATTCTAAAGATATGCTCATTTTAAAATTATTTTCCGATATTGCTGTTGAATTGCATTTTATGGTTTAAGTGCAAAGAACATGATATTTCATAAGCAAAGGTAAGACACAAAAGGTTAAAAAAAAAAGTCCCTTTGAGCGTAATGTAAAATATGAATTTTTTTTTATTATTCCTTTTATAATACATATATTAAAAATGAAACTGAAAGCATTTATGATTGCCTTTAGGTTGAACATGATGGTAGACTGACATTGTATTCAATGATGCTTAACTGGCTGCAGGCCAAAAAGGTAATTAGTATTCCTGACTTCTTTCTATTTTATTATCCATGGCTATAATTACAAAAGCAAAATTCTGAGCATCTTTAAATATATTTGAATCATTTAATGTTTATTATTTTTTATTTTGACTAATTATATTTGCATTTTTTTTATTTACATGCTAATCTAAATTCTAAAAATTACTTATATGTATTGTTATTATTGTGCATTATCAGTTTGTGTTTCATATTCTGAAAATTTCATATTGTTTTTTTAATATTCCTCAGCTTTCACACAAGCGATTGGGAACCCAAGTTTGTGGAATTTTTGCAGAAGTGGAAGGGGAACAATTTGAAAGTCACTTACATGAGATTTTCCCTATAGTGACAGAACTTATAGCTATCAGAAAAAATGAAGTGAGTGCTGTTTAAATTCGTTTTTAATTATAATTAATGATTTTGCTCTATTATGATAAATTTAAAGCACATAAATGTAAGATATCCAGTATAGTAGACCCCCTATAACGCGGGTTCACATAAGATGGATTCATATAACACAACAGAAAAATTTTGAATGGGTTTGTACAACATACTCAAAGAAGCTCATATAGCAGGGTAAAAGAATGAGACAGACTTTGTGATGTTATTACGTTTTAGTTCCAATAATTAATATAACTTTTGGCTAGTTATTGAAATGGCAATTCAGAGTTATCTCGAGAAGCATGTTACTTTAGAAATTGGCTCGTGAAGATGGAGTGAAAATTTTATTTTTAGGTAGAATATAAAAAGGAGAAAAACACAAGAAATTGACTTAAGAGAGAGGGGTAAAGACTTACTGAAGTGACCTACAGAAAAATAAAGACCCTTTTCAGTCTGACAATCTCTGCCATGGAGAAAAATTCTAAGAAAAGCAGAAAATGTGTATCCCTTGAAGAAAAAACTAAAATTTATGGTAGGTTAAAATCTGGTGAGAAAGTAATAATCATTGCTAAAAAGTAAGAACCATCAGTGGTGTTGCCATGTTAATTAAACATTAGTTAAACCCACGAGTGGTGAAAGGGGGGGATAAGGCATGAGTAATAAATGTTTTATTTCGGGATCGATTTTACAATTGGTTTGTGCTGGAAGTGGAAGATTACTAAAAAAAAAAATATCAGCTTCAAGTTTTCTTACTTATCAATAACATGCCAGAACACCCTGAAGATTTAAATCATTATAATTAATATATTGACCATCCAATACAACATCAGTCCTACAACCACAAGATCAGACAATAATTAAATCATTGTATATACAGCACACATTTTAGAAAATATTGGTTCTAGTTCAACTACTACTACAGTAATGGACTTGTAGAAAAAATTTTCAATTTTAAATAGCATTGAAATTATTGAGCTAAAATCTTTGACTCTGAATGCCTATTGGGGAAGAGTTGTTATTAGAGGAAGCTGTTTAACTTCTCTGACAACAGAAGTAAATTGCATAATAAATATTGCCTACATTTTAGGTAGAGAGGGATTTATCAACATGAACAGGGAAGATGTTATTGAATTAATTAATACTAGTAACCAATACTTAGATTAACAAGAGCTTATGCAGCTGTCAGAGTTATATGAATCAAGTGGTGAAAAAAACTAATTACGGATTTTCTGTGAGTCATTGCAACACCTACTTTAGAAATCTTAAATGAAGGATTAGAATTGGCAAAAAAACTAGAACATTTTATGGATGATGATCCATCAAACAAAGCACTCTGAGGAATTTAGAAAAAAATTGACAGATTATATAGCTCTATATTTTTAAATAAAAGCAGATTTAGAAAGTAAAGATAATTAATTGTTGATAGCACGAGAAGATACACTTTTAAACAATGAAAATAATTCTGAAGAAGCAAGTGAATCTTCAAGCTGTGAAATAGCACAGCCAGCATTTAAAAGAAGATGTCACTGGACCCTAATTATGGGTGGCTTCAATAGTGACTAAATGTTTAAAAAAAAAAAAAAAAAAAAAAAAGTGTAACTGCTTCTTTTATTTAATGAAAATAAATTTTTTAAAATGTTTAATTTCAGTATTTGTTTATATTGATGAGAAATGAAAAATATTTTAACTCTTACATATTAAATATTTATTTTGCATCTTTGTTAAGTAGTATTTGTATAAGTGTATGTTTATGTGTAAGTAAACTGTATATGAGTTTACACTGTACAGAGTGTGTTTCTGGCCTCTGCTTGCATGCTGCATTAGTTCCTACAAGCTTTGATAATTTGTAATTATTTGTCTTTTCATTATCACTGCCGATATTTGAATTTGTAATGATGATTGAGTTACTGAGCCAGCTTAGATTAAAATTAAATTATGTGGTCTCTGATGACTATTAGTCCGCATTTTTATTTAAATTTGACTGTATCTGTTTCATTACATCCCCATGAGCTGTAGTTGATTTTGTTGGCATAAGAACATGCCTGTATGTTCTAAGCTCTTTTTAAATAAGAGGTTTATTTAAAATTTTATCTGACTTTGTAGTTACTTTCAGACATATCAATAATTTGCTTCACATCTGTCAGAGATTTTGGACTATTTAACTTTTACCAGATCAAGTAAGACCTCATAGGTACAATGTCAAGAGATTGCTGAGTTAGGAGATGAAACACACAGAAGCTAGTAGGAACATTGGTTTGTGTACTGGAACAAATTTCTAATTGTTAGAAAAGATGCTTAAAGAAAAGGAAATTAATATAAATTAACCAAAGTGTCTAGGAAGGTTTCAAACTAAAAAGATGCATAAATATTGTGTTGTATGTTGCTGTTATAAAATATAAATGTTTTGTAGCTTTTAATGAGTAATTATCCTAACATTGTTTAAAATTCAATGTCATAAATTACATATATTTTAAATTATGAAATGTTTTTAGATTGTTGCTTTAATAGTGCTTTTTTGACAATTATTTTTTTAAATAAATAAAATTTAATAGGGGCCATGTAAATCTATAACTAAGGGTATCTAACTGCTTACCCCTTAAAAGTTATCTCTGCATATTAAAGCAAGTTATTGCTTCTCATTAATCCTTACCATGCTCTCAAGATACAGCACAAAAGTGTGAAAATGAGTGTAAAACTTATTCTACGTGAAGCTGCAACACTTAGACTGTAACATTTAACTGCATCAAACAGAGCACCACTAACTTTCAAAACTTGAGAAACGTGCCTACATCAAGCTTTCAGGTTTGACATGATCAACAGGTCTCTCTCTAGACAAGCATCAGCAATCTTCTGTTCTGAATCATGCTGATTATGATTTAATTTCTCATTTTAACTTATGCCATTCGACATAAAATCTACCTGCTATTTACTAGACTGACTGAGTATGTGACAAAATTAGACATAAAACAAAATTAACATAAAGCTAGTAAAACGTAAATAAAATGTCACTAATCTTCTTTCAGATATGTTCGACAGATATAAGTGTAAAATATTTAATGCTACCTGATAAATTTTGTAAAGTTGATTTTATTTTCAAATTTGTTTATTAAATTATGTTTAATACAGTGTAAAGTCCGAAATCCGGACTTGTCGGGACTTTGGCAATTCCAGATTTGGGATTTTTCCAGATATTAGATCATCAGTTTAAATCTAGTAAGATGGCATGCAGAAATATAAAATTAAGAATATGAAATCGTGATTTATGAAATAATGAAGTATTTATGATCTAAAGAGTATCAAAATTTACAAAAAAAAAAAAAAAAAGCTTAATATTTATTTGTTTACCTTATTAAACATTTCTTTCAATGTAAGTTGTTTAAGTTGCTTTGTTTTTTGTGATAATACTTTCTTTGTCTGTCTACAGAACAGACATAATCTCTTGTCGAGTCACATTGTTGAAGTCTTATAACTGCTGTTTCAAGAATTCCAACTAACTTGCCAATTGAAATTTTCTCGTTTTGGGTAACTCTAGAACCATATATCAAATTTTGCCGTTAATTAATTGATTGATGATTGAGAAGCATTGTCATCACAATGAAAAACTTCTTTTATATCATCTTCATTTATTACCACTTCTCCACATTTCTTTACAAAATCCATTAATTCGAAAGTTTCACCTTTGTTTTGCGATATCCGAAAAACTTTAAATTAGCGCCTATCATCATCAAATTTAGCTATCCTTCACTATACATATTTGGCTATGCATCATGAGCTTGGCGACTAACTACAAGTTGTTCCGTTAAATTGTATCTTGCTTCTATCGCCAGGTTGGCATCAGATCAACAATGTACCTATGTGGAATGTTTCGGTTTGAGATATGTGTCAAGCAGATACACAGCAATGGAGCCAACTTACTTATTGTACAGATTTATACTAAAATTATTGTTTCTTCAATAACAAGGTATTTTATTTAGTATTGAAGTGAAATTAATAATCGGGACTCTCCAGATGTTTTATTATGCACGGAAGTGGAATCAAATGTGCATGCGTAAAGCCTACAAGAAAAAACGTTGTTGGTGGTTTTGAAGTCCGGATTTTAGATCATTTCGGATAATGGACATCTGGATTTCGGACTTTGTACTGTAATAATGCATCCTACTGATGGATCTATTTTATTATTAAGATGGTATAACAAAAGAGAAGTTCAGGCATAGATAATATCTTTAATTGAATTTAGTCAGTTCCCATTTGCTGATAGGTCTTTAAATTGTTTTCATTAATGATTCTTAAAAGTCCTTAAAAGCGCTTAATTTCCATGTACAGAAATATGTACAAACCCTGTAGGAATTTCTTGTTTACACCATCAAAATGAGAGACTGTCTTATCTTCCTTCTAGTACAGTAGCGGTTTTCATGGTGACATAACAAAAAATATAGTTTTTATTGCACTGCTTTGAAGTACTATTCTCTGAATTTAGGTACTACATTCAAGTATACCTTTTTGTTAATTTGAGTAGAAAGAAAAATATGAGAATTTTGTATTTTTTTCAATTAATATAATCTGTACTTGTTACCTGATATATTTAAGGACTTTTCTAATAACTGAAGTGACTAATTTTTTGTTAACTCTTTTGTGTTTATAGGCAAAAAGCAATACAGATGAAAGATGTGAAGATCACTTTTTATATCATCTTTTAAATTCATTAGTAAAAATATTGACACATTGTCCTATTATTAAAAAAGAAGAATTTTCTGAAAAATTAAATGTAATATGGGGTAAGTTATCCTTGTCTTTCATTTTATTTACTAAATATCTGTATAAATGGTTTAGTAGTGTAAACGTAAAAATAATTCATCAGTCTCTCTGTTAATATGTTTAGTGAGTATTTGGCAATCTTAAAAACACCAGGGTTTGGGTATGTAAGACTGCTAAACACCAGTAGTTTGACCAGGGTTCAAGTTTTAGCAGATTTATTGTTTGTGTATGTAAGACTGCTAAACACCAGTAGTTTGACCAGGGTTCAAGTTTTAGCAGATTTATTGTTTGTGTAAGGTGTATGATTTTTCCCATGTGTAATTTAAACACAAACCAGTTTCTATAAGAAATCTTTCCTCGAGGCACCCTTTTATTAGACAGACTGCTCCTAATATGTTTTGCCTTAATACATTAAACTAAACTGATCTAATTTGCTTGATTTTGTAGTTATTCCTTACACTTAAAGCTAACTGATTATAATAAACATATAAAAATTGTAATTTATCCAACTGTTAGTCAAAATAATATGGATATTTAACTGAAAATTAAAGCATTCAATTCTTAATTCATTTCTTTTATATTTATATCTCCCTATAACTGTGTCCTGAAAACATAAAAAACTTTTGAAATATTTATTGTGTTTTTAGATGAATTTACTTGAACTTTTTATGATGAAAAATTGTCTTAATATATCAACATTTGAAGATTTATTTTGGATTGATACATCATGTAGTCCAGTGCACTTTTTAAAGTGTACAATCCAGCCAGAACTGTCTAAAAATTCCCTTTTCACTTAAGTATAGAATTTGGTTTCTTTTGGCAGTGTAAACTTATCAGACTCATAAAAAATGTACAGGGAATTATCACTGTGTCTGGAATAGCAACAGAGTCTTGACAAGATTTAAGCAAAACTTTTCATTAAAAATCAGAGCCTAGGCATAGAACGTACTTCTTGTGCATGACAAGCTCACCTGCCACTTGCGACAAGGTTGTTAAGAATTATTAGTCCAAAGGGATTTGAATCCCGAAGGACTATTAGTTTCGTTTTGGCATTTTGCGTCGGACGGATAAATGTCGGTCACTTTTCAAACTGTTGCCATAAAATGTTAGAGTCCTGCATTATATTTGAAGAAATTAAATAATGAAAATCTGCATAAATGTATGTATATTTCTCACATTGTCATAAAATAATGGTACATAGAGTCATCGAATTTTGAATAACGTAATCCTCCAACGAATATGACCATGTGGAAGACCAAATTTGAAATTTGAAATTTGTTTTATGATCGATTTCCTATTTTTTAAAACTTTGACGAATTTTTGATTAACAAACTCAATGATTTCAAAGCGAGCAATGGCAGCATTGTGCAGAAAAAAACATTTTTATCTCCAGCGCGTGAGTCTCTGTATCGGAAATTCTAAAGCTATTTTGCGATATTGCTGTTGCACTGGATCTTATGGTTTAAGTGCGAGGAACATGATATTTAATAAAGAAAGGTAACACACAAAATGTTAAAAAACGCCCCTTCGGACGTAATTTAAAATCTGAAACATTTCAGCTTTTTTTTTTTTTTTTTTTTTTTTTTTTTTTATGTTTATTTTTTAATATTTCCTGGCTCATGAGGAAGCCTCACTTATATTTTGTCAGTATAGTTTAGTAATTTATGCAGGGCAACACTGATAGATATTCAAGTTCTAGAATGGCGTAGCTTCCCCCCCCCCATGATAATAAAGTTTGTTATAATTGAAACTGATTTTATTCTGTGAATAATCACCGTAGGTATAGTTGCTAGTGACTGTTTTGAAACTATGATGTGAGTCTATAATTAAAGACTACTTCATGTTGAAGTATGATTTATACTTGTAAATATTGAAATCTAGATAAGTCAGTGACTTTTTTCTTATAAGCTTTAACAGAGGTAACTTAAAATACAGTTTGATTTAAATTAAAACTTAGTAGTCAAAGCCTACACAATTTATATAATGAGAATTTGGCTCAAAAACTTCTCAGTGACGTAACAATTGAAATATTAGTAGCTATATGACAACACCAACGCATTGCAATCTTATCAGAGCTAGCAAAACCTAGCAGTGTGTCCTCAAGAGGCAGAAACATACTTTATCTTACAATTCAAAAACCTCAGCTTAAATACCCACAAACCTAATTTGCATTCTGATAGGGAAACAGAAAGGAGAAGTGAGATTACAAGCTGAAATTGTTACTAACTGGTTAAATAAAATAATAATAACCGTACATACTCATTAATTGTGTCATTTCAGAAAATAAAAGAGCTCAAATCTTTTCTTTTAATAGTTTAGTCCTGACCAGAGTTCAGTTCAAGAGTAAAATCTTGTCTATCCAGAAAGCTTGGGAAATGCTCATTTCAGATAATCAAGAAGGTAGTTTATTCCTGAGCAGAATTCAGCTCAGTAGTAAAATGTTACCTATCCAGAAAGCTTGGGAAATGCTGAATGCTGGGTAACTGATAATGTGGGATAGTTGAGCATATAAAACAAATTATGAGTAGAAAAGCCAAATGAATGAAAGAAATTTCCAGTCTAAAATTATAAAAGCAATCATCTTATTTCTTATCAACTTGTACATCAAAAGCTACATTTAAAATTATCTAAGATTTCAAATATACAAAATGCATTTCAGGCATGAAAAGCTGACATATTTTTTAGGCCTTAAACAACATTTTATCTGTAATCTTTTAATATTTACAATTAGCTTCAATTTTAAGCATCAAAGATTGAATACTACATAGTAAAATAAAAGTTAAGAAAATATAACAATTAAAAACTTGACTGAAAATTAATATTTTTTGTCTTTTTTACTGAGGGCTTTCAATTGCACTGCTGCGCACACTAGGAATTATTATTGCTACTAGGTACTTATGGAAACATAGTTCAATAGTACAATAAATTTCACCACAAATGATACCAATTATTAATTATAGAATGAAACAACTATCTCAGATTTACTTACTATTCTAGATTACTTGGTGCTTAAATAATGATTTCTACCTCAAGAATTTTTCTATTGAGAGGGTTTTCCCTTCTTCCCATTAACTAAAGAAGGTAGCAGAAAATATAAATATCTTCTAACTGTGAATTTCTTATCTATAATTAAATTATTTTATTTATATTATTTTGTAATGGACCTGTTAGTCCATATTATTGACCCTCGAAATACAATTTTATCCTGTAGACCCTGGTTGGGAAATACTGATATAAGCATATAATTTTTCATCACTGGTTATTAACTCTTTAAAAAATGGATAATTTTTATAGCATTCCAAAAGCAAGTAATGTATGCTGATAAATTGTGCTAAGTTGAATTTTTCTAAGTTCATATGGGATTCAAACATCAGTTTTTTTTCTGGTAACCAGACCTTTTCAAATGAATTTAGACTCTTGACTAGCTCATATATGGGTATGTGATGATTCAGTTATTGCTTTTAATTTGCTGTCTTCAGTTTCAAGTTAGTCTACTAAAACATGTTGTATCTGAACTGAAAAATCACTGGAATGAAATTTTGTAAATCATTTCTTGCATGTGCATCATCACCGTACATAATGTGGTACTTTTTATGCTTGAGGAGATAAAAAGGAAAATGGGACAGAAATGTTGATTTTTATGTTCCACCCTTCAACATAATATGCCTGCATAAACATTACAGAATTTTAATAAGTTTTATTTAAAACACATGCTGATATCTCAGCTGCCACAATGTGTTCTCAAAGCACTATTTCATTGTTTGAAAATTATTCATTGAATAACATTAAAATCACCTGCGTGCTATTTTACAGAAAAATAAAAAGTGGTTTCCAACAGCCCCTATTACACAGTCAAATTGTTTATGAAGAGCATTCATTCATGCAATAAAACTGGAATTTGAACCAACAAGTTTTACTCTGCAGGAATTACTTCAGTACTAATAAATAGTATTCTTTAAAAATAATAATTTGTTGTTCCATCATAATTGTATTTCTATATGATCAATTTAATACATATTTCATTTTTAGAGAATGTTCAAGGGCTTATTTTGCATCCTCATGCTTGGGTACGTTTTGCAACTAGTCAGTTATTTGGACTTTTACTGTCAACTTATACAGTTGAAGAAATTTGTGGTGCTATCTGCAGCAAGAAAAAAACAGTATCTGTGTATTTAAATACCAAACAAAAGGTATGCAGTGGCTTAAGCTATACACCTAAAACTCTAAAGAATTTTTTAAATAATGTTTCATATAGTATTTAAATTACAAAGCATGCATGATTTTGGTTATATTAAATGGCCTTAAAGTATTTCTTGATGGAAAAAACTGCATCTCAAATTTTATTTTTTTATAGTTATTGACTATACATTACTTGATGTGTTAATAGTGTCTGGGAGTTTTTTGTAGTGTAAATAACTAATGTTTTTTCAAAATGTTTAAAAAAAAAAAAAAAAAAAAAAAAAAAGAACATTTAAATTTATTAATTTAATAGCCACATTACTTCTCCCTTTCCTTATCAATTTATAATTGCTGGCTCATATTAAAAATGAAGTTATTTCAGAATATTGTAGCTCATTTTAAGATCCATTATATATCAGTTTTAAGCCAAAATAGCAGACTTAGATATACTGCATAACTTATAGATGTGGTGAAAAATGTATTAGGTAAAGTAAATTTTGATAAACTATGTTTAAATCATATTGCTGCTTTTTTTTTTTTTTTTTTTTTTTTTTTTTTCAAAATTTATTTAGTGACATATATCTTTTAGCATATTTTATACTTAATAATATTTTTATGTTGCTGACTTCAGAGATTGATGAGCTCTTTTTCGTATATTAGCTCAGAGACTTATCAGCAGACTTTGCAACACAACTCCAGAGTCTTTACTTGAATGTAGATCATGGTGAACAAGTAAATAGTTCTTTGTCTCTTTTTGAATGACTTTTAGTAAATCTCAGACAAAACAATATTTGCAAATATTGTTTTATATAATATATAATTTTAAGCAATATTTATAATCAGTTAAAAACTACTATTTTAAACAAAAATATGCCATTTTAAATTACTGACCTATTTTAAAGTTTTGTAAAAGATAAATATACTTTAAGTTTTATAAATTAATTTTTGAATATGACATTTAAAACAAATAAGTGTCAATTTTGAAAGAATTTATTTTTAATTTTAAATAATATTTATTGTAGATTATCAGGAATCTGGTATATATAGCTAAAGTTAATTCAAAGCTCTCAGAACTCTCAGGTGAAAGCATAAATGAAAGTTCTGAAAATGTGGAAGTTACATTAGAATGGATTATTCGGAAGCTCTGTCGTGAAGCGAAAAAAGAAGTTTCTGATTCAGCCAATAAATCTGAAAGAGTAAGTTATCTTTAGTTGAATTTATATGCTTAATTTTCTTTGTATTATAATTATGCAGTCACAAAAAATATTGAAATACTAAATATTCAGATAAACTTAAAATACCCTATTTCCTCACATATTTCCGCCTTAGCTTTTTAGCACTAAATTCTGAAAATCTTAAATATATCACATATAAATATATTCTTTCCCCTTCCTCAATGCAATTTAGAGAAAGAACTCCCCTTAATTTTAAAATGGATTCATCAAATTAATGATTGTTTTCATCGTACTAACAAAGACAAAACCTCGCAAGCTACCTGCGTGGGTCATGCCGAACCATTTCTTTCTAACTGTTGAACTTTATGCCTGCTTAAAATGAGAAAACAATCATAGCAAAGCAAACTTGAATTATCTTTTCAATGTACAGTTTCATTGAGTCAGCTGTCCATTCATTTTCTCTAATTATTTATGGATGATTTGAGGTCTGAGAAGAAGCAGAGATAATGACAAGAACAAGTCAGAAGTTGGAGTGAAGCAGAAATGAAGATATCCATTGGGATAGTTACCTGCAGTTTATCCATGACACTTTTCATGTGTTACAGTCTTACTTTAACCATATCCTTTGGAAATTAAATTATTCTCATAATTTTTCTCTCTCAATTTTCAAGCAATAAAATGAGTAAATAAAAGGGGGTGGAAATATGGTAAATTGTGATCATGTATTAATGTGTGCTTTATTAAAAGTAATTTGAAATTGTTTCAAATTGCAAAATTAATGTTTTATTATAACTCTAAAATATGTAATATAGGATAATATTTTCATTAAAAGTTTATAATATAATATGTATTTCTTTTTTTTGCTTAAATGTTATGGCAGAAATTGAAATTTTTATGTGTCAATTGTCATTTCTTATTTTTTTCTGAATACTTGCATTAACAATATTGATGCTAGGTTTTATCATGTTATATCATTTTTGCATTTATCATTATTAACCTTCCAGTTATGTGGAATTTTCATTCCATGGTTATACTTTAAATATTTTTTCACCATGAGATAATAAATTAATATATATTTGATACAACAAAATAAGTTTTAGTAATAAATAATAGTTTATAACTCTTTATTTATTAGATAGTCCTACTTTTGTAGATTTATTTTTAACTAGCATTATATTTATCTATTTACAGCGCAAATGTGTTTTTATGTTCATTGCTGCCATTGCTCATGAACTTGGAAAAGAAAAGGTGTTCCCTATGTTGAACAGTATACTTGTGCCACTCTGTAGAGAAATTTCTGATGCTTCTGAACATCCAGGTATGCTGACCTAAATTATTTTACAGTTGTCCTAAAAAAATAGATGAAGACATTTTACTGTTAGAGATTATCTTAAATAGAAAACTTTTTATGCTGCTGAAAAAGGTAAATTTCTAAAATTAGTGTGTGCTGAATCTTTTTGATAGGCCATCCAGCATGAACAAGGGAAATAACTAAAACAATAATATTTATTAATAAATAATTTTAATAAAATATAAAAAGTTAAAATGAAAGCATTCATAAATTAATATAAACTGATTATAGAGGAGTAATGAATTAAAATAAGCTCTTAAAAATGAAATGAATAAAACAATGAAAGATGTCTAAATTAATGATAATAAAACATGAACACCAGAAAAAAGAGAGGTATTCTATGCCATTAAATAAAATTGCTTCTTTAAGTTGTCTTCTAATTTATTTTAAAACCTTAAACAGGAGAATAGAAGAGTCCATAAATACTCCTCTTCCTCAAAAGAGGGCATTTTAGAACAGGGGAATTATTCTTTAGATGCTCAAATTTTTATATGTGCTTTTTTCTTCAAAGATATAAATTCTGTAATTAGTATCAATGTTAATTTTGCAAACCATAAAAAATATATTTCCGCGTAAATTGTAATTTCGCGCGTATAATCCGCGGACTATCTGTGTTTAAAATGCGAATTTTTGAAGCTCCGGACTATCCACCAGTGCGGATAATACGCTGGTTGTTCACGGTTAAAATCGTTGAAATTTTAAAAACACGCTGTCGTGAACTGCCGATGATCAAATATAAAAAAAGCGCGAGATTCCAAGAAAACATTCATATGTATCGTATTGATAGTAAACCATAGAGCATAGTGCAGAATGAATGAGTAGTAGCAAGTAGAGCTCCTAAAATCCAGGCTGGCAGATCAAGCGATGCCGGATATGAGCACTCAGCGCAACCAGAGTCTTGTATCCCAGTATCCTTCACACTGCTTTAGCACAACTGCCGGGAGGGGGAAAAGTAGTTGATGCGTCAGCTCAATTTTTAGGAGCCTTAGTAGCAAGTACCTGGAGTACTAAAAAAACTGCGATTCGTTTACTTACAGCGTGGTTTGGCAACACCGAGTGAGTGAGGTCAAAGGTCACATTTCATTACCACTTATCACGAGGATACCATGTTGCACAGTATTTTGTTTTCGTATTTGTCTTTCATCTTCGATGACGTTGATGAAACATCGCCGGAGTTTTACTGCCAAGTTTAAACTCAAGGTAGTTGAGAAAGCTGAAAAAGATGGAAATAGAGAAGCGAGTCGTTATTTTGAAGTGGACGAGAAAGCGGTGAGAAATTGGTGCAAAACAAAAGGATGTGTTTAAAAAGCATGGGAAGAAAGCGATCCAATCGGCACGGAAAAGTAAAATGGACAGCTTTAGAGGAAAATTTACTGAGATGGGTTCTCGACCAAAGAAATGATGGACGCTCCATTTCAACAGTTAAAATCCGTCTCCGAGCGAAGTCCATGGCAGAAGAGATGCAGATAACAGATTTCAAGGGAGGGATAAATTGGGTTTACCGCTTCATGCATCGTAAAAACTTGAGAGTTCGCAGAACGACAATGTGTCGGCTGTTCTGGACGACGTAGATGAAAAAAAGCTTCTTTCCTTCAGTTTACAAGGAAAGTTATTGCAGAAGGGAAGTATTCCCTAAAAAATATTATAAATATGGACGAAGTTCCATTAACATTTGATTGCCCACCGAATCGCACCGTCGATACTTGTGGAGTGAAAACAATATCAATAACAACAACTGGTCAAGAAAAGACCCAATTCACAGTGATGCTCGCCTGCTGTGCTGACGGCACAAAGTTGAAGCCGCTCTTAATCTTTAAGAGAAAAACAATTCCCAAGGAAAATTTTCCTCGAAGCGTCGTAATACGGTGCAATGAAAAGGGTTGGTGCAACGAGGACATTATGCTCGATTGGTTTCAAGAAGTTTGGAAGAAGAGAGAAGGTGCCTTTTTCAATTCCAAAGGAGTACTAATTATGGATTCCATGAGGGCGCACATAAAAGACAGTGTAAAGGCGGAAGCTAAAAAAAAAAATTGGTGCTGAACTTAGCGTTATTCCAGGAGGTTTAACAAAAATCCTGCAATCTCTGGATATTAGCGTGAACAAAAGTTTCAAGTCCCACGTACGTGCTTGCTGAGAGATCTGGATGTCGGAAGGTTTACATACTTTCACAAAAGGAGGAAATATGAGATGCGCTTCATGCAGTGAAGTTGCCGAATGGGTCAATAAATCCTGGAAAAGTGTTAAAGTGTCAACCATCCGATCGGGATTTATAAAAGCCAGGATTGTTAGTGAAAGCGAGGAAATTACTGACAGTGAAGATAGTGATGCTGAAAATGAACTTTCGGACACTCTTCCCGAAAATATATTAGAACTGTTTAATTCTGATACCGATGAATCGGACTTTGAAGGTTTTCCTGAATGTAGTAGAATGTGTGATTAATTAATATATGATTAATTAGTAAGCACTGTTTTTATTTGTATTTAGCGTTTTATTTCTGAAGGTATATTAGTAAGCAAGTACTTTTTTTCTATTTATACTTAGTTCTTTGTTTCTAAAATACATTAATATCGCCGTATTAAAAAAACAAAATTTCGGACGTATAGTCCACGGACTATCTGACGATTTTTGAAATTTTTTTATATAAAATCGTGTCTGCGGACTATACGTGCGAAATTACGGTAATAAAATTGTCTACTTATATTGCAGTTCAGTTATACTGGAAATCCCGGAACTTATCGTGCTTAAATGTCTAACATACTGTTGCATGCATACAGGTTCGTAATAGACTGAATGTACAAGTGTGATAATAGGTTAATAGAATTTATTCGTATCAAAAGAAATATATCAGAACTCTGTAAGTTTCCTCAGAGATATTTGTATGAGTGTTCACAATATCATGCAATACAATCAGTAGTTATACTTCAAGCTACTAAAAACATTAAATACAACTCAATTCAAAGCGGATCAAAAAAGAAAGCTAACTCTAATATCTCAGTTCACGTGGAACTTAACAACAGTAACCGAGCAACTGAACTGATGCTCTCTCTCTCTCTCTCTGGCTTTTTATAGTTTTCAAACGGTCGCGAGAAATTTCTGGTACTTTCTGCTTCTTGAAATTTTTTTAAAGTGATAAGAGAATGGAATTATGGTTACAGCCAATATAGCAGTCAATCATATTATTCAATTTCAATGCGAATTACCAAGATATCCATTTAGTCAAAGTTAAATAAATACACGTGCCCCTGTATTCTTACTGTTCCGGCATAGCTTTCTCTTAAAATTTGTCTCACTCTACATTACAAAGAAAAATACAGTGATTTTATTTATAATTCTACTAAAATTTACTATCTAAGTACAAAATTCTTATTAATACTTTGCTTGAAATTACTTTTTTCAAAAACTGAGAAGTACTAGAGCTTGGCTTCAATTGAATGAAAAAAGGAAATCCATTGAACAAGATCTTTGTATTAACTCAAGGAAATTAAATAAACCTCTAAATCACAGGTTGGCTGTAGCCTTGTTGCTTCAGCCAAGATATATTCTCCTAATTAATAAGAACTCTGAAGCTTTAAAACCCATATTTTCTCAAAAATGAGACCTGCCTATTTTAGCTGTATCATTAGTCTAAAATTTGGTAGGGAGTCATAAATTGCTATTTGATGAATGAAATTGCAAAATGTAAGGAAGGTATTTAATAATCATATGTAGAATAATTATGCTGTTTAAATGCTAAACAAATTATATAAGTAATTACAATACCTCTAAACTGCAAAATTACTATTAATTAGAGTATCCACATATAGCTGAGCAATTTCCGTTTAGGCCTGTATCCACTATATTGGTCATTAGTATATACCTGAAAGTATATCACTAACCTTTCTTTCTATACCATAATGAAATATTGTATTTAATCAGACAACTTATCTTTCATTCTTATCAGAATTGTTACTGTTCTCTCAAATATTCATTTACATTTTAAGTTATAAAATTTAGCCTTAAATCTAATGAGATCTTATATTCAAGAGATCTTACTTTTGAATAAATCCATATTTATTTCAAAGTAAGACCATTTCAAGTGGTAATTAATTAAAACTGTGATTTATGTATACATTTACTGTCTGTCTACGAGAACAGCTCCTGCCAGTGTCTGGAGAGTGGCTGTCGTTATAGCAACTTGCTAGTATATTTCAAATAGGGATGAACCAAGGGTTGCCAATTCATCTTTAAATGTGCCAAGGTGGCAAACTGAAAAGTAAATGTTCAAGACACCCCTATGGAAAATGGGTTAAGGCTCGTTTCTACAGCAACAAACAGCTGCATTTTAACTGGTGAGAGCTTATCTTATGATAGACAGACTATACATATTTAATAAAGTGACTGTACAAATAATAATAAAAAATAATATGCATATGTCTCAATGTGAAAAATTTAAGTTCTTGTTCATCTTCATTTTAAACTAATAGTACTTGCAGTATTAGCTGTCCTGTTGGAAAATACTGTGATAATTTTGATGGAGAGATGGCAGCAATATTATTTGCAATTGATAAATTGAAAGACAGTCCTGATCCCAATATTGTGTTTCTCGTTGATTCTCAAGCTTCTGTATTGTCGCTTGTGAATTAAAAATACAATAAAAATGCACATATCCATATTTGTAGAGCAATGCTTTTTGAACTTAGGAATTCTAGAGGAAACAAAGTTCTCCAGTGTATTCTGAGCCATTGTGGCATTTTTGGTAATAGGAGGCTGATAGACTTGCTAAAGCTGGTTCTCTAATGACTCGGCCTGATTCTCCTCTGCCTTTGCGCAGCATTAAAAGGATTGTAAACAAAAAAATTAAGAATAATAGAATGACCTTATACAGAGCTGTGGGTAAGTAGTGGAACATCCTGCATAACAAAAAGAATAAAATTCCCAATTCTTTACCTCAATCTGTTGGAGTTGCTTATTTTCAAATGCTAACTAG